AGAGCAGAATACGTTTTCGCGTGCGCGTTTAATGTATAACGGACGGTATAAGCTAAAATTATCTATTTCAGTTAATGTTGATGATTGCGTTGTTCCTTAATCTTTGAATTGGATCCGGCTTATTATTTTTTGCATACTGTAAGAACAATTTTATAAAAGTAAGCTTGAACTTTCGATTATGTCAAATAGAATTTCCGATGCTGGAGCTCCCATAGGATCTACAAAACGAAAGTATGTTTCGATGACCATCAAACAAAAAGTGGAATTGCTACAAAAAATAAAGGCATATCCTTTGTTTATCTAACCGTTCGGAAATCTGTTTTATCAATTTCACGCTGCTCTGCGCACGAGGGGGGGAGGAACGTCGCGCCGTTCAATGAACTGGAAGTTGATCTGTCAGCACTATCGTTATCTTCAGGACAGATGTTTTTATTTTATTCGGCTTATAATTCCTTACTAAATGTAGTATTTCATCTCGATGTACTCTGTCTTTGATATGATTTAAATCAAATTCTTCGTCATTATAAATATCATGAATACAAATCAAATAGTTTTCTGGTTGCAATTTTCTAATTTCAGCTCTGCGTAATGTATGCTTTACGCATGCGTGCGTTCAAAGAAATGTTTAATAAAGTAAACAAATAAATATTAAGCTTCTTTTTTTGTAAATTTTGATATTCTTTAGATCATAATTGCTCATTATTTTATAAATTACGGTTTCATATTTTAATTTTATAATTTCTGCATGCCATCTTACCAGATTTAAACTGATGATCTATAATCCGAAAAAATCGATAGTCCGGAATCGCCGAAGTCCCGACGAGTCCAGATTAAAGACTTTTGACTGTATTATGAATAATTTACATGCCACTTCCATATTCTTTGAAGAAATTTTAATTTTAATCAGCCACTTGTGCAGCCAGCCACCTAAAATAGTTATCATAAAATGAAAAAATATATTATGATTTTAATGAGTCCAGTTAGTGTAATTTCAAAATATTTTTAATAGACATCTCGAGATTTAAATGGATTTTTATTTAAATCAGTCAGAATAAAAAGTTAAAAAAATATTCTTAAAAACTGCATTTATTGCTTTTAAATCATTTGGCTTGCAATGATAACTTGCAATTAATAACAATGTTTAAATTGGAATGCTAAGTATCTAAACTAATATCACATCTACAAACTACCCTCAACAGTGCATTGAAAGAAACATTTCTCGTAAATTTTGCTTTGCAGTTACATGACTGTCTGACCTGCATGAAAACCAGTTCTTTGTGGAAAAAGCTTTGATAGACACAAGTTCAAGCAAAACATTTTCATCTCAACTGTTACACGTCCCACGCTGGTACACAGAATACAGGTTCCAGTGTTACATATTTCGGCTAAGAACCATCTAATGGTAAGAGAAGGAAAAGCCTGTTTCTTAGAAAAGTTTTTCCGGTACTATTCGGTTTCGAGGGCCGGAAAAAAATTGCAGCGAAAATGTATGCGCAAAAGCGCCAAATCTAGCAAACGTGCCCATTTAACAGCGCGCCAAATCTAGCATACGCGCTGATTTCAGATTGCGTAAGTTTATATAGTTCTGTATTTCTTAAGACGCCATTGAAATACTAGTTTAATTTTTAAATCATTTTTTGATTTTAAATCCTTTTTTGATATCCTATGGATTTAACAATATGGGAATTGCCATGACGAAAAGTCGACAATAGGATTTTGGGTAAAGTGCAGAATCGCCCACTGCTTGACGCGTTTTTTAGAATTGCACATACTTGGTATCCATGTGCACATCGACCTATTTTCACTTTAAAAAAAATTCCCAGAATTGCACAAAAATGGCACTGCGCACACCCTTGACTTTATCTATGTACACATCGACCTATGTTCACTTAAAAAGTAAAAGAAAATTGACAAAAATCCAATTGCTTTTTACCCTTGTAAAAAGCGGCAAACAAGTAAGTGAGCGATTCTGCACTTTACCGAGAATATTTTCAAAGAAAAGGCATCATTCATTATAGAAAATTACGTTTGAACAACCAACGAGATGTAATTATGCTTTAGCGATAAGTCGGTAGCGAAATAGCGATGCAGGCATCCATTCAGTTATGTTTAGCAATTTTTATATAAATTATAATAATGATTTGAAATAGTTATTGACTCTTATGCTTTCATCCAGTCCTGTTTAGCCTTTTTCATATAAATTATAATAATAAAAAAGTATTATATGAAATTAACATTTCATCTAAATTAAAACATCAATCTTAAATAGTTATTTACTATTATACTTCCTTCTTGACGCAATTATTAGGGATGTCGCAATTATTTTTGGCAGCATTGGCATTAACAATAGTTTGGCGATTTTTTACGGCCCTCGAAACCGAATAATAGTACCATTTTTCCTTGTCTCGCACATCCTCAGATATAATAACCATTATGCTTTACTGAATGGCAGCATGCTGAAGCATGAAAGATAAAAATATTTTATTTCAGACAGTGGCAACAAATTTAGTTTACTTTACTGATTAAAATTGAAAGTTTTTTTTTTTTTTTCATTTTGCCGTATGGCAACAGTCTGGCACACTGCACATTAATATGTTTTATTTCGAGCACTGCTTGCTTTAAACTGCTGAGTTAGTTAATCAAAATTTTAAAAATTCACTAAAATATTAAATAAATCAAATACGAATTCAAAATTATGGCTTCAATGTGCACTTGTTCAAGTGGAGAACTACACATGTTCAAAATGCTCATGGTGGTTCTAGATATTCCCTTTTTTCATAAAGCAAAGAACATACAAACAGATTCTTCACGATTTTATAACACAGATGTCTGAACAACATTTTTGCACTTAGTACTCGCAGCATGCTTTTTATTCATTTTTTAGTCTAAAATTATTACTTTTTTAAACAAGATAATTTGCATGAAAATATACACAAAACAAAAGAATCGCAATGATCAAGCAAAATGATGCCTTTGATTACTCAAATACAGAACAAACTGTACAAAGCAACCGTTGAAACTAAATATAAAGATGCATTTCAGCATCTTTCCATCAGCGTCAATCAGAGATGTTTGGTCTTGCGTATGCTTATTTTTATCCACTGTGGTGCAGAGCACTGAATGGGCATTCTTGGGCACTGTCATATGCGGGTAATTCACACCTGGATAATCGAGTGTAAAAGCTAGGTATTTTTATTTCCTATTTCTCCAATAACATTTAATTAGAATTTATTATTTTGTTTTAGTAAGATAAAATGGAAGTGCTTTTGTTAAAATTTTTATCACTCATCACTGATGACATACATAATAAACACTCTATAAACTATGATATACCACTGATGATATACATAATAAAAACTCCACTTTTTCCAGTAATGCATACTAGAAAAAGTAATAAAATAAAAGCTATGTAGGTGATTATTCATATTAAAGATGTATGCATTCAAACAAATTTTTTAAAAATCGATTTTCTGCACAAAATTCTTGTATTTGAATTCTTGTATTCTTGTATAAGAATTTAGCATACCATTGTATTGAACAAATTGGATTCAAGCCCTCCAAACTAATGAATGCAAAAATATGTAGAACAAATATTACATTAACAGCACTGAGATATTCAGTAAAAATTAAATTATAATACCAGTATATAATTTGGATTGATGTTTGTTAGATCAACTATAATATGAACATAAGAGCTGGCGGGAAAAGGGCTGAATCACCCACTGCTTGGCGCGGTTTTAAGAATTGCTCATACTCAGTATCTATGTACACGTCGACCTATTTTGACTTAAAAAAACATCCCAGAATTGCACAAAAATGGCATTGCACACTCCCTTGACTTTATCCATGTACACATCGACCTATCTTTCATAAGTCAAAGAAAATTGACAAAAATCCAATTCTTCTTACTCTTGTAAAAAGCACCAAACAAGTCAGTAGGCGATTCTGCACTTTACCCGAGCTGTCTCCCTAAGAGGAGATATACTTTCTCAGAGAACTTTTAAGAAAAAATTGTTTGTACTCACATTACAACCCTAAGGAATTTTACACTTTGAAGAATTTAGTTGACAAAATATGCATGACTAGATAACGCATGACTTTCATTTAAACATCATTAACTCCACTAGCTTTGATAACAGGTAACTGAATATGAACACATAATTTTTTTTAATTTATAAAATGCAACGAAGGTCATATTTTTAACAAATACTTATAAGCAAAGCAACAGATATATGAATTTTTGACACATTGCTGATAATCAAAATTTCTAAACTATAAACAGTACTGTTTAGTAGTTATATACGTTGTTCTTAAGTTCCATCAGGAATTTAGGATTTTTATATACTAAACACTAGTTTCTGACGGTAGAGTTGCAAATTAAACAAACTCCACTTTACTAAGTTTACTCAACTAAGTTTACTACTGGTATGCTTCTGAAACCGATTTATAAGTGTACTAATCAAGTTGAGATTCTCTATTTAAAAATCAGATGTGCAACTTACAAGAGTAAAAATGCATGATTAATTTTGAATGGCATTTTGATGTGCAGTATAACCAGTGTTCAGTAAAGTATTTAAAGGTCCAAGTCATGAATCGCGAATTTAAATATTATACAGTTCATTATATCCATTCATCCATGCTTACATTATTAAATTTAAAATCAGCAAATTCGAAAATCAATTGGATAAAAACCAGAAATCACTAAATGTCTATGTGTATGTGAGATGTAGTAATTTGAAAACCACACGGTCAGATCTTGATTTCAATACATGACGACAAGTTAGAAAGCAAAAAATTAAACACAAATAATATGATAATGCAGCTATATTTTAAATGTTTGTATAAACACTCATATTATTGTATACTGTGCATCAAATAATGTTATATATACTAAAAGAACACCGATAATGAAAGGTAGGTATGAAAGTACAAAAACTGCAATTTCTCAAATACTTTTCATCGTGATGTAATCATCAGTGATTATAGATTTTTTAACCTACTTTTCTCTTGCTTGAGCATCCGAGGGTACTGTTGAGCCTTTACCTTTAGCATACATGCTGCCAGTATCTAACATTCACGTTGTGGTCAAGACATAAAGAGCACCACCAATAAAGTTGCCATAGAAACATCAATTCGGATTCGTAAAATACAAATAATTATTCAATACGCTTATTTTTTATATTTAACACAGTTTTACTTCCTTCCGATCAACTGTACGTCATCGTAGAAAAACAATCCCAGAAAATTACAGCTTCTGCTAACTAAATCCAAGCAACAGAAAATACCGGCACTTCTTCTTCAATAACAATATGGTCTCTAATTTATTTGCGAACTTCGCTGCATCCTACAGTAGCCGGTTTCCTTAAAATTCAGAAAAACAATTACATCATGTTTTCACGATATCACAAATCAGCACAATGTTTCGATTGGAGAATGGCGTCTTTTGGATAAAAATGTTGTTGCCATTTAAACTTTGATAGTTTAACAAATTTTAGTAATAATATTGAAATGTCAAGCACGATAATTTTTAATCACCGGAAATAAAGAACGATATCACAATATTTAGTACGTTTCTGATTTTACTCTATTTAATTGAAAACCAAACTATAAAATGATATGATATGTGAATAAAAAATTGAAATATATTCTTAATATTCAAATCTAGAAATTTTTACAGCATAAAATATGAAAATTAAAATGCCACGAGGATTATTATTGAGATTTAACCTCATTCAATGCTTCCTTGGACGGCATCCTAAAACCTATGCATAGCCACATGCAATGCATAGCACTTTATTATAATTATACTGAGATTCTTCTTCAATGCAAGAATATCAGCCCAGTTCCCACAGCTTTAAAAAATCCGATATACACATCGGAAGGCTAGTTGCTATGGCAAAAAATTGTTATGAAGCTTGACAGTATTGTTAATCTCCTTTTCAAGTATAAAAGTAGATTTCGCATATTGTATCAAGAATATGTAATGAAGAAGTCCGTGCTGGTTTCTCAGTTGCTGTCTGGTTATCATGTTTGATGCTAAGCTTAAAGTCGCATATTTGCATTTATACTGAGTATACGGTAATGTACTTCCCACTCGGCAAAAATGTAAGCTGATAGAATAGGATAGTTCTCATAAATATGATTTCTGTACACATGAATCACCAAAAATGAGCACAGGAAAGACATAATTGAGAATTCTTAATTGTTCATACTTCGCAGAGAAATCACAAAATTTTTAAAATCAATCTACAAAGAACAAAAAATATATTTCTTGGTTAACTTATCATCGAAAAATATGCGAAGTACTTCTGTTAAGCTAGATCTTAGAGCTGTCTTAGCTGTTGGCAGATCTCTCCAAAGTGTTCCCCTCTTCAGTTTCATTGCAGTTGGCACAGAGGTCGGAGTTTTGAAGATCAAATGCTTTAAAATATGCAGGAAAACGGTCATGACTCGTTGAAATTTTATTTAAATCTACGTCACTGTATATTTGTTCTTTCTTTACTGTTCTCAATCTCATATAGTTTTCGTTTTTATCAGGCACTTCCCCTTTTTCTTCCCAAAATTTGCACATATAATTCTTCATAAGGGTCACGGCCTTCCTCTTCGACCTCTGAAACTCAGTGATTTCAGTATTTTTTTTTTTTTTTTTTTTTTTTAGTCCAAAGGGATTTCAGTCCCGAAGGACTATTGCTTTCGTTTTGGCATTTTGCGTCGGACTCATAAACGTCGGTTCACTTTTCAAACTGTTGCCACAAAATGTTAGAGTCCTGCATTATATTTGAAGAAATTAAATAATGAAAAATCTGCATAAATGATTGTCTATTTCTCGCATTGTGATAAACAATGGTACATAGAGCCATCGAATTTTGAATGACGAAATCCTACTGCGAATATGGGCATCTGAAATCCCAAATTTGGAATTTGTTTTATTATAGATTTATATTTTGTAAAACTTTAACGAATTTTTGATTTACAAACTCAATGCTTTAAAAGCGAGAAATGGCAACGTTTGTATAGAAAAAAAATACTTTTATCTCCAGCTCGCGAACTGTGTATATCGGAAATTCTAAAGATATGCTCGTTTTAAAATTATTTTGCGATATTGCTCTTGAACTGAATTTTATGGTTTAAGTGCAAAGAACATGATATTTTAATAAATAAAGGTAACACTCAAAACGTTAAAAAAACGCCCCTTTGGACGTAATTTAAAATCTGAACAGATTTTTTTCATTTTGCGTCGGACGGATAAATGTCGGTTCACTTTTCAAACTGTTGCCATAAAATGTTAGGTCCTGCATTATATTTGAAGAAATTAAATAATGAAAATCTGCGTAAATGTATGTATATATTTCTCACATTGTTTCATAAAATAACGGTACATAGAGTCATCGAATTTTGAATAACGTAATCCTCCAAAGAATATGAGCATGTGGAAACCAAATTTGAAATTTGAAATTTGTTTTATGATCGATTTCCTATTTTTTTAAAACTTTGAACGAATTTTGATTAACAAACTCAAGGATTTCAAAGCGCGAGCAATGGCAACGTTGTGCAGAAAAAACATTTTATCTCTCCAGCGCGTGAGTCTCTGTATCGGAAATTCTAAAGATATGCTCGTTTTAAAACTATTTTGCGATATTTCTGTTGCACTGGATCTTATGGTTTAAGTGCAAAGAACATGATATTTAATAAAGAAAGGTAACGCACAAAATGTTAAAAAACGCCCCTTTGGACGTAATTTAAAATCTGAAACATTTCAGATTTTTTTTTTTTTTTTTTTTTGGTAATAGTTAGTCACTTTGGCCAATGCGTCTGCCTTCCCATTTCCAATAAAACTCACACGGGCTTTAACGCAATTCAAATTAATTATAATGCTTTCCGAAGGGTTCAAAATAAAGCGCTTTTGTATCTAACATCAATTCATTTATCTGGTCCATCTAGAAAACCGCCTGTAAAATTGATAAACCGTGGATATATATCGGGGATGGCAAAACTTCAAGACGATGGGAGCCGCATAATACATTTTATGAATGCTCAAGAGCCGCATGTCCAAATTTATATCGTTTCAAAAGTAAGCAGACAGGTTTTGAATGTAAAGAAACTTTTGAAGTAAATTAATTAATATGTGATTAACATAATTATATATAAGTATGGATAAACACCTCTTATATCTACTGTTTTGTGTTCAGAAAATATAAGTCCCAAGAAAATAAAAATTTGTAACGTTTGTACTGGGCAACTGAGCGTTTTTTCTTCAGGTAGAGAAACCGAATATTTTCTTCTAATTTTCTTTATACCTCTCCGTTTATAATAATTGTTGTTTTATTCTAATATGAATTCTAAATGAATCGGAAGTATATTCATTGGTCTATAACGGCATAAAAAGTGTTATTTGAGTAAATTTCAAATCGTTATTTAAGAGAAAATTGAGTGTTTTTTAACTCATGAGCAGTCTTTTAGAAAAGATAAATTAAATGATACACGTCAACGAGCACTGCAGAAAAACTGCTATTCGAAAAAAAAAATATTTATAAATATGCTATTAACTTGTTTAGGCTTTCGTAATTTTGTTTTTCCACACAATTAACATAAGAACCAACATACTGAGATTATTCAAATCTTTGAATCTTAACCTAAGAAATCGTTAAATATTTTTTTCTAAAACTTTGAAATAACTACTTTTACTGACGCCCAGTGTAAAAGAATTAAAAAAAGAAAGAAAGAAAAGATTGAAATTTCAGTGGTATTTGACTAATCAGTATTGCTTATCACAACCCTGACTGAAATGGTATTTCATACTGGCATCTAACGGAATCAGCTAGCATATTTTAGTAATAAGTACACTGCGCATCATTGAAAATTCTCGAATCATCTCGATAATTTCGGACACAGATAACGAAGTTCATGAGCGTCATTGGAAATTCTTTCACTGATTCATTTAGTTACAAATTTCACTGATAAATTTAAGTAAACAGCAATAGCAGCAAGAACTCCCAAAATTTGTGCCATTCCTTAGGAAGCGAGCACGAAAAGGAGCAATTATTGATCAAGCAACGCGATAAGGAAGTACATATTTGATGATAAAGAGGTTGTTAGAATTAAGAACTTTTTTAGAAGATGTAGATAACCCTATGTTTCACTAACAGAAGACGTGAAATGATCTTGCAGAATTGAACTCTTCTTTCTACATCGTATATAGCCACAAAAAAGCTGCAATCTGAAGAACTGACAGGAGGCGAGAATGGGATGTCTGTTATTTCTGAAATAGTGTTATTTCTGAAACTGTTTATATTTTCTTTTTCAAAACCAGCGGAATAAGGAAGCAAAAAGTTGAACTTGCAAATTACCTAAATAAATACAACATTAATGTCCTCCTCATTAATGAAACACATCTCAGGAAAAGGGATCATTTTAACCAGGGTTGTGGAGTCAGAATCGGACTTAGGCAGATTTTAGGGTAAAAGGAGTTGGAGCTGGAGTCACTAAAAACACGTCGACTCCAATTTCAGTTTTTGTTGGACAGTTCAAATTTGAAATGAAATTAAAGTGCATTGGGAAAAAAATTAATGACAAACTGATTTATATTTTTTATTTATGGACTATATATACATTAATAAATAGTTACTTTATATTTTATTGGCATATTAATAAATAAATATAAGGAAGGAAGATGGATGTGATATTTGCCATTAGTGATTAAACTGATTCATTTAGTTACAAATCTCCCTCGTAAATTTAGGTAAGCAGCAACAACTCTCAAAATTGATGCCATTCTTAGGAAGCGAGCAGGAAAAGGAGCAATCATTGATCAAGCAATGCGATAAGGAAGTACATATTTGATGATAAAGAGGTTGTTAGAATTAGGAACTACTTTAGAAGATGTAAATAACCCTAATGTTTTACGAGCAGAAAGACTGTGAAATGATCTTACAGAATTGGAAACTCTTCTTTCTACACCATATATAGCCACAAAAAAGCTGCAATCTGGAGAAATGACAGGAGGCGAGAATGGGATGTTTTTTCTTTCTGAAATGGAGGGTTTATTGCAGAAGGAATCATTTCTTCAATGAAGAAAAGAGAAACTAGTTTGCTAGACAATGAGATCTTGCTGGGTTCAATATATGTAGATACGAAACACTGAATTTTCTTAGATGACGAATAAATTAAAAAGGCAAAGAAAGCCATCTATGAACTTTCATTAAGAATGAAATTATTCTCAGAACAATTAGAGAATTCGAATCAGGACAGTCAACCTGCAGACATTGCATTTGAGTCTCTATCATCCTCTTCCAGTGATGAATTAGATTTTGAGAAATATTTTTGGATAATATTGAAACGGCTAAGGCAAAGAGAATGAAAATAAGGAACTAAGAGCTTTTAGATATAAAAATAAAAAAATAAAAACAAGATTTCCACACGGAAATAGAAAAATACGATTG